GAGACAGGCGAGCGCCGATGCAACCACTAGCTCATTTGCCACTCTCCTCGACAAAGGAAACGTCTTCGGATGCATTCCGTCAACCTGGGAGGCATCCACCAAACTATGAGCCACTGCAAAAATGCCCATTAGGGGGCGGCGATACAGCATAACTGATGTCCAAGCTCCCAGAAGGCACAGATGGAGGGCATCCGAGGTATGGGAAAGCTGAGCCAACTGTAGGGTCATGGTGCTAAGACTCAGCCTCTTTGCTATGGGTGCCCCACATGTAGTGACACCCTGAGTGCAGACTTTGCTTCTAACTTCCCCTTTCACATCTTTGTGCGGAGTTCCCAGGATCTTGTAGGCGTCGTAGACTTTCTGGCTCTGTTCAAAGCAAAAAGACGACTGCGACTCACCTGGTGGCAAGGATCGGTCCTCGACAGAGATAGCAAAATAATCATCAATGACAAGCCCTTCAACGAGCGATGATCCAGAAATAGGTCTGTTTGCCTCCAGCCGCGAACCATCATTCAGAAGCCCTACGGACTTCAGAAGGTTCTCATGAGCCTGAGTTGCAAACTCAACACCTCCATGATCCCCCTGAAAAATGGCACCAAAAGCTATGTATACCTCACCATGCAACAAAAGAGGGGGGCGAGGCCAAAGGTGCATCCATGATTCATCACCATGTAGCATATCCCCAACTGCTGATCTCCTCCTCCTCTTACCAAGATCATGTAGCTGGTCTTCACGGAGAGCAGGGCCGACAGAGTTAGCAGCTGCTTTGTCATCAGAGACTCTAAATTGATGATAAAAATCCTTTCTGTCCGTGCAGGCTACACGTAGGCATTGCTTTCTCGCGTTCAGGCTGATCTCGGCGAGGTCTGAACCGCTGGGAAGTCTCGAAGATGGTCCCAACAAGCGATCTTCAGCAAAATTTCGACCCCTCCTGTCGCCGATTTGGCGGTCAGCGTCAATGCTCTTGTAATTGTTAAACACCCTGGAAAGCCAAAAGGATCTCTGCGGCACTTCATGAATACGAAGAAGTCCTTGACTGTCCCAGATCCTGGCCAGCTTCAAAACTTCATCTGGAGGGTCGTTGTAACCAGGAAAAGTTCCAGGAGCCGGCTCTCTGCAAGAAAGGATGAGGTCGGGACATCGGTATGCCATACAAAGATCATCATCAAGGAACTCGGTGGCATCAAAGGCACCAGTACCACTCAGCTTCAACCTGCTAGAGTCCAGGGAGCGATAAGGGCGAAGCTCAGGAAGAGCTTCACTATCAAGAGGTACTTCATGCCCCTGGAATTGATGCCCATAGGGGCCGCAGGCGCCAAGCTTCGTCACAATGCTTGACAGTTCACCCAAGCGTGCAATCAATTGAGGAAAACGTCGGCCACTCGACAAGACATCAATCTGTCCTGAACCAGGGCCATCCGCAGCCAAAATACCTTGAATCTTCCGATAAATGCTTCTATGGGCGGAAGACGGGCATCTCGACAAAGCCTTCTCACAAGGAAAACTCCTCAAACCATCATGAAGAAAGTTCAGAGCCATCACCATAACATGGAGGACCCGCTTGAGAAGGATCCTTCTCCTGTCACGAAGTGAGAGACCTGTCGGCATCCTGTTGAAAATGCCTGGAAAAGGCACTGGCACAGGGAAGAGCTGCGGTGTCGAAGGCTGATCGCTCCGATGCAATTTGAGAGAAAACGACAAAAATGCAGAGAATGGTGTTCTTGTCCTCAGAACATTGGGAACCAATGTAGCACACCAATCCCAAAAGGTAAAAGATCTCGGGACCCTCGAAGAAGGAAAAAGGGCATCGCCCTTGTCATCAAGGGGGTCCAAAGCAGCACCAAAGCCTTTGCTCTTCGGTGCCTGAATTCGTGAAGGACCGGATTCTTCAAAGGCCATCATGGGAACCCGGTCAAGCATGCATCCATCTCCACTTCTCACTGCTGAGCCCCTTCCGGGGCAGCCTTTGGCTTGTGAGGAAAGCGAGGCTTCCTCTTCGGCGAAGGTGGGTTCGCCTCCCTCGACATTCTTCTGGAAGTTGGGCTTCTTGACCTCGGGCTTCTTGTTTGCTCGAACCTCGATGTCCTTCAGATAACCCAAAGTTGTAGCCGTCCATGTAGGAGGTATCAATGGGCTGAAGGGGCGGCTTGTCGATGAGACAGCTAGAGACCTCTCTTGAAACATCGTGATCGGAGGCTCCTCGAGAAGGCTGATCAAATAAGCAACTGTCCAATTGCCTCCATCGTAGTTTCTCGACCGCCATGGCCAACAAAGCCAGATGCTCCCGGCACCCTACCATGTCGTCGTGGGCGGCCGCATCGGCAGCATGAGCGACCATCCACACTGCACAAGTCCCAAACTCCTCTGGTTCTTGTAGCCCCCTGATTTCTCCAGGTATTCCAATAAGGACAGAGAGCTGAGGTCGTCGTCCGTCTTCGGAAGAGGCCTGCCAGGATGTAGGCGCTTGTGCACTTGTTGCATCAACAGGAGGAAAAAGTTCCCGGATCTGGAAGCCAGGTCGGACTGAAGTTTCTCCCTTCGCATCACCCCTTTCATCGAGGAGGTACTGTGAGAGCTTGAGGACAGGTCTGCCATAGGATCCTGCTGTGTTAGATGCGCCACCAGGGCCGCAATGGCCGTCGATTGCTGACTGAGTGCTGTCACAATATGGCCAGGATCTTGACCTAAATCTCCACCTCCCAAAAGAAGTGCATTGGGCTCCTCTTGGTTCAAAGCCAGCTAGGGAGTCGACACTGTCCGATGAAGCTGAGTTTTGGGCGGAGGCCCAACCATCTCCAGAACTTTCGGCGCGGACAAAGGAGGGCCAACCCCGGAATTGAGGCCGTCTGACAAAGCCGGAAACCTGACTGATCTGCCAGCGTGCTGTTCTCCGGCACCCTTTGCAGAGGGCTTCGAGGAAGTTGCTTTCTCCAGGGCATCTTGTCTTGTTGAGATCACCTGGACTTGGGCCACAAGGAGGTTCAACTGTTCCAGCAGGGCAGCATTTGTGATTCGTTTTGCAGCCGCTTTCTTTGCACTTGCCTTTGCAGCTACAGGCGACACTCCACGCGGGTCCTCTTGAGCCGAGAGAAAAGGAGCTCCGCCATCACCACGTTCAGCCACCCAACTTGTCACCAAAGGAGTCAGGACTGAGACATCAGGCAACGCTTGTACGAAGCATCATGGAACGGGGTGATCTCTGCATCGCTGTCCGTGACTGGATCGTACTCACGACAAAAGGCGAGCAACTCATTCCCAACATCAATCACTGAGACAGGGCCAGCAACACCCAAAGGGACGACACTCCCATCGTCCGCCTCCTCCACCAAAGCCACTTCAAACATGGAGCCAACTCCCAGCCAAGAAGGATAGGAAGCAGGATAGTTGCCCTCCAACATCATAGTGTCGTCGATGACCCCATGAGGCAGGCAAATCAAAAACCCATCACCACGACCGAGAAGAGGGACTCCATATACCTCAACTGTTGCTCCTTCCACCAAAAAGTCCAGGCCAACCACAAGGAGCGTATGATCTGGCCCGGACCCTGACATCTTCACTTGTGAGTACTGCATTGAAACACTGGAGGTGTATCAATGCCAGCTGCAGCACAGAACACTTGCACCTCAGTAAGCGAGGGGAAGCCTTGGTAGATGGGACCAAAATCTCCACGAGGAGCAACTGCTAATAGAGCACGAAGTTCAGAGACCTTGCGGACCCTGACTGGGCTGCTGAGTGAAGGAGCCCGGATGATCACCCACTGAGTATCAGACAATGAGCCAAGGCTTTCCAGCTGCTCGTACTCGGTATGGTTCACCAAGCAAGAGCCTGAGCGCCAAGCCCGTTGGACACGATCCTCTAGCTTGCCAACAACCGAGGAAATCTCCGAAGCCGCTGACACCAGAAGCGAATGAGGGATCTTGGTGGGGCCCTCTTCCACACCAGTGAACGTAGTAGGCACAGCCCAGGGAGTGTGAGCAGGAGGTTCCACAAGTTCCCAACACGCCTGAGAGATGATGGGCACCTGAACGGTAGTAGACGAGGATGTAGCAGCTTCTGCTCTTTCAAACGCCAAAGTCAGCCGATTGACAGCCGCCACCAGTGACTCAATGCCAGCACGTGTGGCAGGGACGCTCATTCAAGATATCCAGCCAGTCGAAGCCTCTTTGACAAATGTGCCGGCCTGACCACTCCAGCTTCCGCAAAAGGTCCACCTCCAGCAACCTCAACAGATGGCCTGAAGACCTTCAAGACAGAAAAGGCAAGGAGGAGACCAAGCAGGAAGGCCAGGAGAAACCCAAGGAGAATGCCCAGAAAGAGCCAGGGCAAGACCGAGGAGGAGCAGTGGAGAGGACAGGCCCAGCGGAACGACAAGTCAGACAGGGCAGTGAGCCCCTTGCCGACATGGAGAATCCGCTCTATCATGCCTTGAGCGGAAAAGGACACCACAGATTTAAAGTGACCTATATATACTACTATATACTATATACATTATACATATTCTCAGGATATGTTGAAACCCCGATTCGATCATGCATCCAACAGGATCAAAAGCTCATAGCTCACCTGATTCCTCTGGGTCACTTCAGGCGGTCCTCATTTCTGCGTCTGCCCTGTTTCTTGGGTTCAGGAAATTGGATGGCCACAGGTGCACTCGCTGTTGCCTGCGGCGCTGTGAGGGGCTGTTCTGGTGACACATTCTAGAGCCGAACTGCCCACCTGAACTGGTGAGTCAACACTAGAGAACATTGATGACTATTGGGTCAAGCAAGAAGTCTCTCCCCGTTCTACCTTGATGGGTAGCTTCTGACCGGGTTGTAGCTCTGGAAGCTGCCCCTCCTCAGTTCAGCATCCCGCATGATCCGCTCCATGATGCTGATGATATCTCATGATCCATACTCAGCCTTTCCTGCTGAATTGGACGCTATTACTAACAAGTGCATCGCTACTAGTAACAAGTGTCTTACTAGTAGTAACAAGAAGCTATTAGTAACAATAAGAAGCTATAGAATATAATTGGTGGTCTTCCCTTGACTCGTCCTGTCGAGACGGTCCTTATTGCCCCTCGGGGATATACATTGTTCAATGTTGCACATGAAGTTGCACATAGGAAGTTCTGAATGTGAAAGGCTTTTCAACTTCACATGGCCACAGTCTTGTATTATTGTACAGTTTTGTACTTGTACTTGTTGGAATGCTGGCTTCTCCGAGACTGACATTTGAGGCTCCTCCAACGGCACGCCGTAGTCGATCTGCACGAGCTCTCGGACGCTCTTCCGCCGAATATGGAGCTGGAACTTCACCGGATACTTCCCGTTGTTTGCCACCTGGTACGTATGACTTGCCAAAGCCTGTAAGGAAAAAATACCGGCAACCTTTTAGATCAAGCATACCATGCCATACTACCTGAGTTCAGTGGCATGAATCGTAAACAGTATGACAAGTACATTGGCTGAGGAAACCCTAGAAATGTAGAAGTATCGTTAGCTGAGAACTACCATAGGACCATAGAAATAGTATTTGTTCATGCTTGCTCAGGTTTGCTCACGCTCCCAACCCTGCACTCCTCTCTACCATTCCCCGGCCTAAGACCTTCTACCTTTCAGGACCACTTTCCTCACCAATATGACCTTCAGGGTCCTGTATTGCCTGACCGCACGAGGTCTGTGAGCATCTGAGCACCCATCTGAGCATCTGATGTCTACCCGGTCTACCCCTCAGCCACCCCCTTCCCTCCGTTTCAAAACCCAACCTGGAAGCTCTTCTCGACCAGTTCGCCGACTCGCACATCACCAAAGTCCAAGCCGGTCGCTTCCTCCGGAAACTGCGGCACCACATCCACCACGAAGGCTTCGGCCTGGACATTGAGCTCGGCAGCATTCTCCCAGCTCCGCAAGCCTTCCACATCAGAGATCTGCAGAGTAAGCTTGAACTTGTGTACGCAGGCGGTCTCCGACTTGAAGATCACACTGATAAGTTTCTCCTCACCCACTGCCAGCACACCTCACTGCGATCACTAAATGAAAAGCACCAGTGACACGTGACTGCAACGGTTCAAATGCCTGTGACATGCTGCGGTGTCCAAGGGTCAAACCCTCCATCGTGGTGACTTCGAAGCCTTCTGGAACTGAAGGAGTCGCCTGACAAAGCATTACTACGGAGAATGATTGGCCTCCGCCAACCGCCGTAGTGGCAGTGGCACATCCTGCGCCGTAGGGGCGCCCACTGACACACCACAAACACCCCAGTCCACACCTCAAACTGCCACTTGACAGGCACAGCGGAGACGTTGGAGACCTCCAACAATGTAACAAAGCCTCCTACCTAAGAGCGATGGCCTCGGACCTAAGAGCAATGGCCTCCAACCTACTAGCGATGGTCGAAGGTATTTAGTCTTGTCAAAAACGTTCTATCAGTAGCTGCCTCATGCTGCCTCGCGGTGAAACTCTGGGTGCCCCCCCGATTCGGGCCTTCAATGTTTGCGCCGCCCGCTGTTTCACCAGCAACCGGTCAAAGTCCAGCTCGGTGTTATCCACACTGACCTGAGAAAAGTTCCTTCCATGCTGGCTTGACATGGTCTAGCCACGACTCTCACATCAGGTCAGATCTGTTCAACCGAAAATTGGGAACAGCTGTCGCACGCAAAAAGAGCGAAAAGAACACATTCAACAGCGGACAGTTTCCTCAGTCTGATGGTATGAGATCTCTCAACTCGATATGACTGTTGTGCCGGGTGGTGGGCCTTGGGCAAAGCTCCAATTGCAGCGATAGCAAACTCAACAGCATCAGGGTTGTCAGTGATGGTGGCTACAATGGTGTCGCTGTAGGTTCCTTCTTTCACCTTACTACTGAATTCCAAGACCCGCCAAAGCACAAAGCACCGAAAAACAAAAAAAACCTTGTAAAGAATACTCATCAACAAACAAGTAAGTTCCAAGCTACTTACACTACAGATCTGACAGCTAGCGCACATGAGTGTGCAACGGATGCGCGACGCATGTGGAGTGGCCGGGATGGTCCAAAAGGCAGTGAGCTGATGCAGTACTTGCCACGCCAAATGATCCGGTAAGCACCCCCGGAGACGGGTGTGCGTGTGTGTGTGTGTGTGTGTGTGTGTGTGCGTGTGCCGCATTGTCACGGCCACGTGAAGTCTGTGTTTTGGAGAAAGCGTGGAGCCCCTAGTAGGTCCTTGCTCCTAGTAAGGCCAGGAGCCCCTAGTAACGTCCTTGCTCCTGAGGCCAAAAGCGTGGTGAGCAAAAAGAAGTACTGTCAAAAGTGTGGCCTGTGTTTGCGGGCATATCGAAGAGATCTGCATCGAAGAAGAAGAATGGCGCGTTTGGTCGTGAGTATGCAGGACCCCACCGATCCCAACGTTGTCCGCGGCAAATCGTGACTTAGACACAACTGGAGTTTGAAAGAATTGTAGTAACAGGTGCCTTACTAGTAGTAACAAGAAGCTACTAGGAACAATAAGCTAATAGCTTCTTGTTACTACTAGTAAGGCACTTGTTACTAGTTAGCGATGCACTTGTTCCTAGTAGCTTCTTGTTACTACTCCAAAGTCCAAAGAGAAGATTGACACCTCGTCATCCTCATGGTGAACGATGTGCTGGTGTGATACCGTCGTTCCGACTCATGCTTGCAAGTGCACCCACTTACTTGCCTCCCGTAGCGGCAAACAATGCGGTGTGTGTGTGCTGCCTCTGTGTCTGTGTGGGATGCACATCAACTCATGTGCGACAAACACACGGGTCTGTGGGTGTTCCACCCGGTTGGTGGATGTTGATGGTGTGCAGTGGCCTCTGAGCAAGGAAGACAGCACACTTGAGGCCAGAGGGGGTGAACGAAAGCTAGCCGGGCTTCCGGTGGTCTGCTGCTGGTGCTGCTGCTGCTGCTGCTGCTGCTGCCGCTGCTGCGCTGGGCGCTGCTGCTGCTTGGTGTGCTGCAGCTGCTTGGTGGTCCCGCTCACCGCGCGCAGGGGAGTCGAACCGCGGGGGGGGGGGGGGGTCCATAAGATTGATTTAATCAATTATTTGAGGTTTCTGAGGTGCGTCCACCCCGTCACTTAACTTGCTAAAGCAAGAGCAACTCCAGCTAGCTAAGGCTAGCTTTCGTGAATATCCATCCCATAGGACAAGACCTGAACCAACAACACCACAACATCATGCGACACAAACAATCACACCGTCACGCATGCGCCACGCTCCCACACACAGCGCATTTCTCGTCGTGAGTTCTTTTGGTACGAAAGTGGAGATCGCATGGCAACATGAGGAAGAACCAGGCGCGTGGTGCAAAAGGCAAAGGACTGCCGCATGAGCGTCTGTTTGTGCATTCATTCATGCTAATACCAAGCTTGGTATGTCATCTTAGACGGGCTCTGTCCCGTTCTGCCACCAACACCACCAATGACATGAGAACAAGATCTTGCATGAAAGGTGATCTCGTTCTCTTGGGTGAACCCAACTCGATCTGCAAGGATATCTGTTGTCAAGATAAAACATCAAAGTTCCTTCCTACTTCTTCCCATGAATTTCCTCAGGTGCTCACATGCTTCAAACCAAGCTACTGGGAAGCATGATACAGAAAGCTCCTTTGTTTCTCCGACCTCCAACTCAAGTTGCTTCGGCTCAATCGTGAAAGGAAACTCCTGAACGGAAGGCTGAAATTGAAGCCTTGACGGAAACCTATCACTCGCTTTTTCTCCTGGCATATTTCGTTGAAGGAACTATCAACTAAATGATTAACAAATAAATACAAATAATTGAAAAATATGTTTCCTTCCAATATGTTATTTTTCGGACACGACGTCACTTGCTGCATCTTGCCGTGCCCTCTAGGCTCTCAAATCCTCCAAGCTGGGTGCTGGTGCTGCTTTTGCTTTGGCTTTGGGGTCATCAGGAACTTTCGCTGCGGATGCCAATGAGAAGGCCACGTCTGCCTACCAGGCAATGCTTCCAATAAGACATGATCCAGAATCACGAAGTGAAAATAACGCAGTGAAGCTTTTGTGGAAAACCATCGAAGTAAGCCGATGCCAACCTCACAGTGTGCGTCCACGTCTCTCTGTGCCTTCAGAAAGGAGTTGTTGGTAATTCGGAAGTTCTCAATGTGCTGCTTGAGGTACGGCTCGGACCTCAGCTAGTGGGTTGGAGGCCACCGCTAGGTTGGAGTCCGGAGACCATTGCTTCTAGGTTGGAGGTCCAAACCCTCAACAGGTCCACGACTATTTGATGCCAAAAGACGCCTCATCCTTGGCGTCAGGGCTGCGCCCGACTAAAAGAGGTCCAAACTCAAAGATACCTCTGGTCACGGTCGCATAGTCACAGCCGAGCCTTTAAAAACCTCACTCAATGTAACATCTCACATAGTAGCTTGCTTTTTGATGTATCTATATATGTACTAATTACAGTATAATATGCATCCCCTCTTTGCATGTGCTTCCAATCATTCTTTTGGAACATGCTCACAGTCGAATCAATAATCATCGGCCTGATGAAGCCACGTACTGTTTGCTGGCATATCCGCTCGCAGGTTTGGTCTTCACACGGCGCATGAAGACATTCCGAGGATCACTGCTGATGCCTAGCGAGCCAAGTCTCACCAGAGACTCGACAAGACTTCAACAGGCGGGTCTAAAGGATCGGAAAGCAATTCGCACTGCTATGGCTGGTTGGAGGCCATCGCTATTAGGTTGGAGTGTTTTCTTTAATGTGTTTACTTTAAAATTTACATATTGCCAGGTTATCCCTTGACGGCTTGCCAAAACGCTTCCAGCATGCATTTGGGAAGCGCTACCCGTGTTAGCGTGCTGACTTCGCCAGTAAATCACTGTGAGATCCCCCAATTTATCAGGATCTCTGTTGCTCAAATGCGGCCTGGGAAGGCGGTAATTCCCTCCACATCGATCGAGACGGGCGCATTTCCGTAGATACCTAGGGATCACAAAGTGATGTCAAGTGATCAAACCGTTGAACGCTGTTGAACCTATTTTTCTCCACAAATGCATCTGTTGCGATACTAAAGCTGCAAGCTATGCAAGTCATCAGAGCCATCAGGCCTCCAACCACTTCAAAGCCTAAAGAAGTCTGGTACTTCCCGATCTCCTGGCAAGCAACTTGAATGACTCAACATTCATCTCTTCGATGAGATTCAAGAAATTCTCAAGTAAACTGACACGCTTTGGCGACCGAACTTGTCCTCCGAAAAGAACTTCATCAGCAAGCGGACACGTCCGTGTGGCTCAATGAGCCAGCGTGTTGGCTGCTCAATCTCCTCAGGGGCGGAGAACATCTTCGTGAATCACATTGTCACGCCCAGCGTTCTTGTTTGATTCCGTAAGTCCCCTGCGGCAGGCAAAGGTTCAAGGCCGTGAAGAGTCAAGACCCACAAAGCGGTTTTCAAGCACTCCAACATACTCCAACGACACTTCGACACTCTTTGAAGACCTTTCAAGAAAGCACATTATTGGGTTGGATCGCTACGAAGGTGGAGGCCATCGCTGCCTACTAGTTCAAGGAAGCACATGAACAAACTTCACCTGCCGAGGGCTTCGGAGTCACAGCCGACTGCCAGGTCTGCCCACCTCAACCACTGGTTCTGTCTTGTCTTTGTCAGCAGGCTTCTTACTGTCTGTCCTTCCGAATCAGCAGATCTCAACTGACAAGAATGAAACGAAACAAGAATGTATGAAACAACTGTCACAACTTTTTGACTAACAGGCACAACGGCATGTGTGAACTGTTCTGTCACTGTCATAATTTGTGTTTTAATCTGTTTTCTCTTTGTTGTGTGTGTGTCTCTTGTCGATCTGCGTTCAAGCTCCTTGCACCATCACCTGGGCCGAATGTCTCTAGGTTCACTGGAGCCCTGAACCGCACCAGGCCACTTGAGTTCCACAAGGATTTCCCCAGATCAGCAGCAACTTCCTCGAACCTAATAACAATGGCCTCCAACCCAAGAGCAATGGCCTCCAACACATCACCCTCCTTTTCGATCCTGCTCGTATCAAGCTCAAAGTCCCGCCGACCGTGCCTTCCTTGCCTTCCTCTGGAGCTTCATCCCGTGGGGTCTGCAATTGGAAGTGTGGCACGCTCGGCCGGGGCAAGCGCACGGGGGGGCGCTCCACGACCTGCGCTCGGCCATCGCTGGCGGAGCGATATCTTTGTCTTGTGGCACTTCACTGAAATTGACCGCTTTCCACGGAGTCAAGGGGGCGTAAAGATCTGAGTGTGCCCAAGGTGAGAGGAAAAAAAACAAGAAACACGAAAAGATGCAAGGTAGGCCTAACCATGCCATAGCAACTAAAGACCAATACCAACCAAAAAGAGTCAACGAAATCAATTCAACATCAACTGCAAATTGGGGGAAGACGTTCATCTGACCGAGCCATTCTGCTTTGTCACTCTGCCTGGGCCAAGGAAGGTGGTGGGATTGGCGGCTCCTTGGGAATAAGTGGAGGTGGCCTGAGCATTCGTCAGGTGGACCGCATCATTATGTCTCCGCATCATGCTCCATGCTAGCTGCAACTGGTGTCGCAGCGACTACCAAAAATGAAAATGTGTTCATTTAAGAATGGTATGCTCCCAAAGGCCTTCCGAGGCCTGCTCGAAAGGCTTGCTTGCAACGAATCCGTTTCAACCCCTACTGGAAGCCAACAGAGCACGAACATGTAAGGCGAGGGAGATCTTGGGATCTGGCAGGGCATCAGCAAAAGCAGCACGCATCGTGGGAAAATCATCCTCAGGCATGCCAGCCTGGCCACCAGGCTCCACCATGAGGCCATGAGAGGTTCAAAACCGATCTGAATCTCGGGGCCTCGAAGCTGGTTTCCAGCAGCAAGGGGATGAAATGCACCGAGCTTGTCACCTGCGGAAGCTCTTCTTCCGCCTTCTTGGTTGGCTCTACCTTGGCCTCCTCCTCGGTGCCCTTGGCTGTGATGCAGTTGCTAACGTGCACCCATCACCAATATCATCTCATCAGGAAACGTTCACACTCACAAACAAAACACAAATATTTGCTAACTATTCTGTGTGTTGATGATGCTGTGTTGATGCTTCTGTTGATCTGAGCGGCTTCTGTGGCTTGCCCTTCCTTGCCTGTGCCGTCTGCTTCAGTCTTTGGAGCTTCAGCACCTTCGGACCATGGCACCCGGCAAGCCAACGGTTTGGCATAGCTCAAGCCAACGGTGGGAAGGACCAAACACATGCCGCAAAGATCAATAGCTACAAGGCTACAGTACGCATCATGTTAGAGGTGAGCACACTTTAAGCAAACCTGAGAAACCAAACAAGTCCACGTTTGCCTTCTTCCGCTTCTGTTGCTTCTGTTGCCTTTGGGCGATGAGCTTCCAACACTGCAGCTGCTGCAGCCTGGCTGCACTGCTTCTGCACTGTGATGCATGCACTCCAAGTCCGCTTGGCAGAACACCATGTGCCACAGATTGCCACAGCGTCCGGTTGTCTTCATAGACTCTTAGGGGCCCCTAGTAGTTTGTTCCTAGTAGTAAGGCCAGGAGCCCCTAGTAGCGTCCTTGGCTCCTAGTGCGCTAGAATGTTCGACATCGTCTTTGGTCCTCCACCGCCGACACCATGTCGTGCACTTTCTCCGTCAAGGCTTCTTCCGACCCCTGGCGAGGCGCTTCTTCAGGCAAGAAATGGCGAGGACGGTCCGGGACTGTTTTTCACGATGGAATGAAGAGAGAAAAGAGACAAAACAAAGAAAGCATCTGCGCTAATAAGGCCCCCAGAGGAGCCCAAACACTTTTCTGATCACTGCAAGTCAACCCCGCATCCCGCGCCTCACACTTCTCCAAATGCTGAGTGCTGGCCAGGCAGCTGTCCAACTGGCCCTGAATCTCTTGGACGTGTGCCTGATGAATGAGATGTTACAGAAATGAGCTATGCAAGCAATGCAACTTGGCAAAGCAAAAAACAAATGTGGCACATGTCCACAGAACATGGGGGCCTCTTTATGAAGAAGCTCCACTGGGTTCACTAGTGTTCACTATAAGTACTACATATAAGATATATTGTTATATAAGTATATACAGTATACAGTATAGTCCTAGGAGTAAGGACGCTACGAACAGGGCTCCTGGCCTTACTACTAGGAACAAGAAGCTACTAGGAACAAAGGGCATCGCTACTAGGAGCAAGTATAGTGGAGGCCCACTAAGTTCAACATAGTGGAGGATTAGTACTTATCCTCCTCGGAAGCGGTTGAACCGAGAACCGCGGAACCTGGCCACAGCTATCCGACCCCCCAACCTGCGCGGCGTTCGCTTTCTCTTCGGCGCTCTTCAAGCTGTCTCGCACGTCGCGCAACTCAGCTTCCTCAGCAGCCTCGAAGTCTTCAAGCGCAGCTGCACCTTGGCTCGCAGCTATGACCGAAATCTCACACAGATTGGCTTCAGAAATCTTCACGAATGGCTTGTGAGGATCTGATATGATGAGAAGCCAGCATCAAGAACAATAAAGAAAAGTGCTGGAGGCCCCCCGCGTGCAGGTATCTTCAATTCATGTCGATACTCCGGGATTTACAAAAGAAAATCGCATTGTGTCCTGCTTCCTAATTTCACCAAGCCGCTTTCCACCAAAATGCCAGCCGTAGCTTCAGTGGCCTCTGCAGCTGCCTTTGCCCCTGAGCATGGTGGTCTCTATGCGATTGCACGAGGGAAAGCTGGTCGGACACAAAGGAGCTCTGGCAAAAGAATGAAAGACCTCACATTCGATATGCCAGGGGTTGGCTTTGGATGGTAGACACCAGCAGGAAGAGGGTGAAAGAAGCGCACAAAAAATTGTTGGATTGCCTGGCAGGCTTTGTACATTGGTATCCCTCTCTCTCTCTCTCTCTTCAGTGGATCACTACACAGCCCCTTTCTCGTCACCTGGGGTGGGGGAGCAGTCAGGGTCCAAGCCGGATTCCAAATTGCTGGGATTGGGGGCACGCTGACCTCAAGCTCTAAGATCTAGCGAATCTAGCGGTCTTGCTCATGCAAATAGAAGAGTTGGTGAAAAAAAGGGCTGTTCATCATTGAACACCCAACCCCCAGCAGTCCCAGTGCCACAAAATGTGTTTTAATATGTTTTATTCTAAGTCTGAGCCTATGGATGTCATCAAACCACTGAATTGCTTCAGGAGAGAAAGGCCAAACCCTTGAACATGTCTTTCAAAATAGATCCTTCAGATCCATAGGCCCTTTCCCTATCTTTCCCATAATCCTTAGAAAGTCTTCTTGGTTTCCTTTGACTTCCTTTACCTAATAGCGGTGGCTCCAACCTACTACTGGTTGGTTTCCTTTGCTTCCTTTCCGCCTGCAGCTTCAGCTTCTTCAGCCTTCTGCTTCATGCGCGCTTCCAACTCGCTCAGCTTCGTTGCAATCCTCGAGAGTTCAGGGCAGGCTCCGGACGGCACAGCGTTATCTCATGCTACCTTCAAACGCTGCCTCCTTCAGACATGGAGGAAGAAATCAGAAGAATTGAAAGGACAACAAAATACAAGTACGAACAAATTCCTGGCTGCTGCCATGCACGCGGCTTCTCTGTAGTTGGGGCACCCATACCGACAACAAAACCCTATACCGACACCCAACTGAAAGGGTTTACAGCAGGCTATGAGGCTACGAAAGGATATTAGGTTGGAGGCCATTGCTACTAGATTGGAGGCCATCGCTAGGTTGGAGGCCATCGCTAGGTTGGAGGCCATTGCTACAAGGGTAGAGGCCATCACTGCTATTGTCAAGGTGCTCTTGAAGTTCTGCTTGAGCCGCGTCTGCCGCTTCCTGCGCAGGTGTCAGGAGAGCCTCCAGCTTCTCGGGCCGACTTTGTAGGGCCACCTCAAGTCGCGGAATGCTTGCCAGAGCCGTTGCACCCAAATGACAATATAATTAGTAACAAGAAGCTATTACAGTAGTAACAAGTGCATCGCTTCTAGTAACAAGTGCCTTACTAGTAGTAACAAGGACGCTTGTACTAGGTAGCAGTACTGTAGGCTATGCTATGCTCATCAATTGCTGTGCCTTGAGAGCAGCATAGTAGGCTCGAAGGTTCCCAACCTCCATTCATCAGAAGATTCTTGGTACAACATGTACATGAAACCTCTGGCCTCGTCTACAGCTGGCTCGGTACCGTCAGTCCCCTCTTCTTGTGGAAGTGCCGGAAGCTTGCCTCCAAGACTTCAGTGAGTTCTCACTCGGACAAATCTTTGTGGCTGAAGCTCAAGTTGGCCTTCGCCAAGCACAAAAGCATCGCCGTAGATGGAGCAACCCAAGCCAAGCACCACCACACGCTCAGGCCAAAGTGCTGAGAAGATAGCTGTCCTCGCTTGGCTTGGATTCCATTCACGATGCCCTTTCTGCCTTTCTTTCTGCCATTCAATGGGTTCATACGATGATGTACGATGTATAGTCCTACATCGTGATGATTCATCAACACTTGATGATGTTTTGAACAATGGACATCAACCTATTGAATCTCACAATCTAATCTCACGATGACTGGATCGTGTTTCATCAAATATGTGATGGTCATCCCCTTCTCCACGAGGCTGAGGTCTAACATGTTAGGTCCAAGGTGTTTAACCCACGCACCATATAAGGGGTCCACTGTGAAGTAGGAGTTTTACATTTTAAGGTCTACACACATTCCTTTAATCATGTTAGACCTCAGCCTCCTCATACCTGCAGGTATGCCCATTCTAGACCCTAAGTAGTTGAGGGTATATCGCACGGTGTACTCCCAGGGCCCTTTGCACTGCATCCGATCTCAATCCAAGTATCGCTGTTTGCTCAGTTGAGGCGTATTTGCTCTGGATGTTGTCAAAAGCAACACAAGCATTGCAGTCCGGCAGCCTGGGAGTTTGGGATTGTTATGCGTTTGCTGAGTCTAGAGGTATCCAAACGATTGTCATGATGTTTCATGTGAGGGCAAGTGACCGCAATCGAGCTTGGAGGAAGTGCACCACATCCTCCAGCGGAAGGGAATACTGAACTGGCCGAGGGACAAACCTCAGAGACTGAGGCCACAGGTCTCTTGTACATGCAAAAATAACCCCAACCTAGTGCCTCCAACCTACTAACTAGCGAGGGCCTCCAACCTGCTAGCGATGGCCTCGAACCTACTAGCGATGGCCTTCAACCTACTTAGCGATGGCCTCTAACCTACCTCCAACCTACTAGGGATGGCCTCCAACCTACTTGCGATGGCCTCCAACCCAATAGCACAAAGCAAGTGCGCGCGCGGAATTCTACTGCAGGCAAATTGCGCAAGTTTGTGGCAAGAAAAAGACCGACGTCGACACTAAGCACCATGACAAACAAACACGGTAGAGGATGCCTTCAAAGAGAAGCTGTCAGGCTGAGCCCTTGAAGTTCTAACACGTTCTTTATGAAATAATATATAACTACTTAATTATTAGTACTGCCAAATTATTACGACTATAACATATACAGTAGTACTTTGGCAAGAGTACTGCCAAATGCACACTTGCGTCAGCAGAACCCGGCAGCTACCAGGCAGCCAAACGCCCCTTCACCTCTCAGTTTGGGCACCCAGGGCTGAGGGTGTTGCGCTGGAGAAGCGTCCAGGGCATCGATAAGGACTCCCTTTCCCTTTTGGCACAATTACAGGGCACTTGATGGCACTTGTTCCTAGGCAGTAGCTTCTTGTTACTACTAGTAAGGCACCTGTTACTAGTAGCGTGGCACCTGTTACTACTAGCTGAGGTCTTTGCTCAGATTGTAACGTTAAGCCCTGGCAGATCTGCCCTGAGATTTTGGGAGTTGACTGGGAGCGGTTCCTCAGACGTGATCAGCGAGAAGGCCAGCGGCCTTTTCCTCGTTTGCACTCTTGACGGTTGAGAAGAGGGATGATTCCTAGTAGCTTCTTGTTACTAGTAGTGAGGACTAGTAGCGTCCTTGCTCCTAGTAGAAATGCCCTTTGCTAGTAGTAGCTGCTTTAAAATAAATTTGGTTGGCAAACATTGCCCGGCCAATTTGTGAATGTACTGTGGTGTGTGTGTGTGCAGGGAAATGGCTGCCAAGGGTTGCAACTTCTTTGTGGTGCATGATTGGGAACGTCGACCCAGACCTGCCACTGTTCCACTCACGTCAAGCATGCGGCTTGTCAAGAAAAAACAAGATATAGCTTGCATCTGCGAGGAACTGTTCTTTGGCCTTTTGAGCTTGCTTCTCTCTGTCCTTCACCATGCAATCGGGCATATTTCACTACAACACCAACCCAGAAATCAATGCATCAAAATGGCAGATGCAAGTGTACGGACTCTCAATTCAAGACCTGCAGTGACATCAAGGATTTGGAGTAAAATTTGATCAAAGGAAAATCAAGGAAAGCCCCTGTATCTCCTTCTCTGCTTGCTCATGCTGCTCTTCAGCTGTCGTCATCCTCGGAAATGTCTGGATTTCTACATCTGAGACTCACCCACACAAGCTGGGAATGTCCTGGTGTGCAGGATGTCTTTGCAGGAAATGGCCTCCACCCTACTAGCGATGGCCTCCACCCTAGTAGCGATGGAGGCCAGTTGAAATTTCGCCCAAGCATCAATTGACGAAGCCTGGCTCGCCGGTCTTCCTCTTCCGGAGATTGTAGTGAAGCTGGGCCTCGTCAAGGAGAAACGACGAAACGGGGGGGCCACTCCACCGTTGAGTGCTTTCATCCTGACTCATTCTGACATTTAGCTTCTTCCGCCTGATAGAGCCCAATCTACTGCCTCATCCTGAGATGAGCATTAAGAAGAAACGACTGGGCGTGAACATTGAGAAGAAACTCGGCGTCTGAGCACTTTAGCTCTGTGGGACCCAAAATGCAACATCTGGAAGGTCTTCCTGAACAATAATTACATGTCTACGCCTCGCACATATGTTTGGCAGCTTTGCCAATATCCCGCGTCAACCTGGAGGCAACACGTCCCAAGTGGGCACACCTAACCTCTACCAAAAGATTGAGGAGGGGGCAGCCGCGTCCCAGGTAGGGGAGCCAATACCGTGGGACTGCGCGAATGCAAAAGCTGCCCTCTTTGGGCCCAGGAAGTCGGTTTTTACAGCGGGTGATGTGTTATGGCTATGCTGGTGAAGCGGCGTGGTTATATGTATGTTGCCCGTGCTGGTGTTTTGCGTGATTCTTGCCACTGGAGAAGCGGTCCAAGCTACTAGCAATGGCCTCCAACCTAAGAGCAGGGTGAAGTCGTGCTATCCAGGGAAGGTGCGATCCATGGGTTACGGAGTAGGGTTCGAACTTGTGTTGAGGTGGTACCCGGTTGCCCTTCCTTGAAAAACGCTGTTTCTTACGGTGAGTAAACTGGTACAAGTTTTCCAGTACGCAGAGTGGAATGTCAAAACTTGAGAGAGGAGGGGGGTGAAGGAAAGGTAGCAGGAAATCCAAAAGAACCCCTGGAAGAGGCCCAGGGGGGGGAGACCGGGGGGGGGGGGGTTTTGCGGGGGGGGGGGGGGGGCCCCCCCCCGACGAACAGAATCAACTCTTACAGGACCAAATTCAATGCACGATCCCAACTCCTGATTGTAATACATTTTTGCTAAAGCAAGGAGAACTCAGGTAGCTCAAGCTACCTTTCGTGACATGTGAAAACTGCTGATGAGGCAGCTCCTTCCCACTGGTAAACAGCAGGGGTTCAAAGGTTGTGGAGTTGAAAACGCTACCAGAGCTCTCCAATGATGATCTGTCGAATGCCGTCATGTCCAGTGTGGTGTGGGTTCTTTGTGTTTTATCTGAATTGATCATATCCAAAAGAAGGTGAGCAAATATGCATCGAACAGCATGAAACCCAGCTATTTTAATGGTCCTCGGGGGTTCAATGATTCCACCCTGCAGCCCAATCAGTCCTTCACATCAAGCTAGCCGAATTGGCAACACTTTTGGATTTGGTGTCAAATCCCTGAACAACCGAGTTCGGCCGAGCTTGTCCAATGATGCTGAATCCCAACTAGCGATGGCCTCCAACCTACTAGCGGCACTAGCGATGCAAAAGGCATCGAATAGCGACCGGATCGACCGGGTCGATTGAAAAAGCCCAGGGAAGCCCAGGTTCGACTGTGATGACCTTCCTGCCCTCTCGGCCACAGTGCCGTGTCAGTGAGCTCTTGCCACTACACGCGGGGCCGATGAGCACGGCATGAAGTCGGTCCTTTAGATGAGAGAAGTGGAAAGGATCAATCCCAGGTCAACTCACAGGTGGCACAATGTTGAACACTTGCCTAATGAGATGCTACCATATCCTACCAACTGGCTATCGTTGCTTTAAAAATACCCCATGCAGTTCCATCTTCTTCGCGCACTTCCGTGTCTCCCACTCTCTCAACCTTCCTCATCCAGCACCCTGTACGGGAAGTCGGCAGGGTCCATCTCTGGCTGCATGTCCTGTGCTACGGCAATGCACATCAGGTATTTTGTTTCTGGTCTTTAGACCTTTAGCCTGGATACCTTGTCCTTCTTTCTTTCTGCGTTTCTATATGTCTTTCGATAGATGCAAAAAATTGCCAAAAGCACCTCTGCTCAGCTTCTGTTGACATGGCCTTTGTGCACTTATTGCAGGCCAGGTGCCTCTTCAACCTCTCCGACTTCATCCACAGATTCCTTGCAAACCAAAGACTCACAAGACGGAACAGCAGTCACACCCAATCTGCCCAACACGAGTTGGTAAGAGAACAAGTACAATGCGTTTCTTCGTTCTTCTTTGCGTCCATTGCTAGTAGGTTGGGGGGCCATCGCTATGCTTTTCCCCGAAACGTGCCCTGGTGCGAGATGGTGCGAGAGGCGTCCTCTTCCACGGGCTCTTCCTCTGGTAGTGCATCGATCTCCGCCAGTGCTGCTTCTGCCTCCTTGAGGTCGGCGTTCGCTTTCCTTAGCTCCGGCTACATATAAGCCTTTGACACAACATCTAGGACTCCTAAATGACAGCATGTCTTCACAAGCTCTTGGTGGTTTGTTCAGAAATAAGTCCTTGAGTCTTTGAGATATTCCTGGTGAATCTTCAATTTTCTTGGGAAGCCTCCTCGCTCCTGTCGCTTCTCTCTCTTGGTTTTCTCCTTCCAAGCCTCTCCTGAGCCTCTTCATCTGCCACTTCTGCCAGCTTCTTCGCCATCTCAACACGTTCTGCTGCCTGTTGTCGAGCTTCTACCCTCTGTTGCACCTCGCATTCATCGATCCAGTGGCGAGAAGTCGTGAAAGGCACTTGCATCCGTGGAGGCCATCGCTATCCATCGCTACTAGGGTGGAGGCTATCGCTACTAGGAGCAAGAAGCTATTAGGGGCTCCTGGCATCGCTACTAGTACAGTAACAAGAAGCTACTAGGGGCTCCTGGCCTTACTACTAGGAGCAAGGACGCTACTAGTAGCAAGGGACCTCGCCTTGATCTCGCGCTGCCTGATCAACTCCTCTCTCCGAACTTTGCGTCCATGCTTCGCCACCTTTGGCCATGTCGGAGCACCCGGCGGCCGAAGTGGGAGCTCCATACGATCGTTCTCATACCTCAAGCAACGAAGCAGCAGAAGTGGATTTGCAGGTGCCTTTGCTCAGCATGTGCTGCTAGTCAGGCTTTACGGAATTCTCAAAATCTTCAAGGCACTGGTCATACACTTGGAGAAAATACTCCTCCTCCTTGTACTTGGAGTCGAAATCAGTACTATAGACCTACAGCCGCAAGCTGGCCACGCTGACCACGCTAGAATCAAACGAAAGCTTCGTCTCAGGTGTAAAAAATCCTTGTCCAACAAGCTCCGGCGGATGGCCTCAATGGTGTACTCTGTGGGGTTGCACAGGAAGAGCTCTTGGATGCAGTTCTCAGTCCCTGGAAGCACAGGTCCCAAACGAAAGCTTGACGGCTCAACGTCCACTCGCAAACCATCACCGTGTCCACGCATGTGCAGTTGTTTTCCTGAGCTGAATTGAAAGCCTCCGCGAGTTCAAAAAAAAACATGATGTCATGTCCTAACTACATGCAACATCATGCAACATATGCACGTTCTCGACCCATATTCTCGTTGCTCAAGCATCTGTTGGGATTGTCCATGATCCTCAAGGCCAACTTCTGATTGAAATAACTGGCCGCCGTGGGAGTAAAACTCACCGTCACAAATTGAATATCGCCCGGTGCAATCCTGGCAAGGACTCAACACAAATGGGATCTGCGTTACCTCTTCCGCGTTCGACACTCAGTGTCTGTGAACATGCACTATAAGAAAAGGAACAAGTACATTGAAATACATTGAGCGCATTGAGCTAGTAGCCTAATCCAGCCCGTCCAGCCCATCCAGCACAACCTGCGCCGTTTTCGTAGCTAGCCCTTATCTCCTCCCGGCACGAGGTTGGAGAACGTAAGCGCACTCCAGCGGTTTGCCGAACTTGTCAGTCGGCACCCTGTAGTCCCAGCCTCAGGGTATGATTGCTCATTATGAACCACAGGTACTGCCTGGCAGAAAGCCGCGTAGAAACTCCAACACTGCAAAGCGTGTGCGACAGTTGTTCACTCACACCAAGACTTCAAGACACCAAGTCAAAGATAAAAATTGGCACAAGGAGCACGGCTGCGAATGGCAACTAGCCTGCATCAGGCACCCTATCCTGCACAGAGCCTTGTCTAAGCGCTCCCTTGTGCTAAGGCTCACAGGAAGCAAGGCAACAGCACATGTCAAGTCTGCACTGCAACTACACGATAATTTTGCGCACTTGGTGTACTAGGAGCAAAGGATGCTAGTAGGGGCTCCTGGCATCGCTACTAGGAACAAGAAGCTACTAGGGGCTCCTGGCCGTACTACTAGGAGCAAGGACGATAGTGGCTCCTGGCCTTACTACTAGTAGCAAGGACGCTACTAGGAGCAATGGAGCTTGAAAAAGCTACAGTGGCACCTGTCACGGGCAAAGCCTGCATCTGCACTGACAGAACTTTCTTGACATGCGGACAAACGGTGCCAAGAGGCGGAGAAACACATGTACAGCACCAAGCATGCTGTATACCCCCCAACGTCCCCCTTCACATACAACTGTTCAACACGCATAGCAACATTGCATAAAGAAAATAGTGCAGCAACTAGCGACATAGCAGGGTTGAGTGGCGTGCTAGTCATAGGTGGGTCGGATACGCAAGTACATCAAAGACTGTGAGTTTGAAACAGCCAGGGCAGTCTTGGGTGGGTTAATGGAGGTCCCAATTAATTACCTTGGGCATTCCAACCGAACAAAAAAACAAGATTCCAACAGAAAAAGTACAAAAACAGACTGGAGTCTGGAGCAAAGTAAAGAAACAATCAAAGGTATCTCTGCAGAAAATGGATTGAGAGAAAAGGTGAGGAAAAGTAGAGAAAGCGTTGCAGGCGCAAAGCGCAGAAATGCAGAGCTTTGCGCAATTGCGCAACAGTGTAACTGTACACAAAAATTGCTTGAGGTGTTCCGTAGACTGGCCCTAGGGTCTTGGCTTACCACCACAGGCTTCACATTGCGGAGCCTGGGCCACACAAAGCTACACGAAACCATACAAAGTACATCAAAGTACCAAGAAAATCAGCGAAACTTTGTTTTGACAGCTGGACTCTGCAGCCGAGCTGCTTGATGGTGATCCTCTTCACCTGGCCAACTGGCACGTGGCCAAAGTCGATGGAATCGGATGAGAGCTCCAAGTCGGGGCGTACGAACTCGCTCACCAGTTTCACCTCGAAACAGAGAAGAGAGAGAGAGAGAAAAAGAAAAAAAGTATATATATATATACAGTAAATGAGATTCACAGTGCAAAAATGTTCATGTAAAGAAGGCCTCCAACCTACTAGCCATGGCCTCCAACCTAATATCAATGAGAGAGAGAGAGAGAGTAAAAGGACCAAACCAAATGGTCAGCCTCATAGAAAGGCCCACCACGAACTGGGATGATCCAAGTTGTTTCTTGTTTGCCCTCCTCACCACTCCTGACACCACATGACACACGTGTCAGTGCGATGGATTCCTCTCATTGTGCAGATCGCCACAAAGGCAACTTGCGGTTGCGGTCCTGTCCCTGAAGCAAGTAAGCTCCAACTTCACCTTTTTCCCTGGCAAGACTTTGCTCACCTACGGGCACAACACGTGGTCACGTCTACAATTGTGACTCTCTTTGTCTGGCTCCAGGTGGAAATGTTTGCTGTTTTATGTTTGCTTCTGGTCTTAGATATGATTCACACATAATGTGTTAAAATGTGTTATTTATGAAGTGTTTTCAGGAGTGTTTTAGTGTATTATCTATCTATGTAGTTTGCAGACTCTACAAAATGCTGACCGTGCTTTTCAAAGATGATTCATGAAGGAGACCTTCATGCTTAAGACACACTCCCCTGCCTTCTCTGGGCTGATCTGAAAGCCATACTGCATCAAGACTTTTCGGCTGATGTTGAAGTTCACATTCTCATGGAAACAGTTGTAGACCGAGATCACCTCCCAAAGAGGCAGCCAAATGGAGGTGGGTAAAGGTTCCTGCACTGTCCCACCTTCTTGCCAGAGTGTCCCAGCACAATGTGACCGAAGTTGCAGCAGTATTGCGCTGCTGTCACTGGAGGCAGCTCCAGCATGGGTCTCCAATCAGCTTTGTTCCGTGCTGAGCCTCTTCCACTTTTTTTGGAACGTGGGCTCCTCAAGCCAGCCCAAACTACAAAGACTGCCAACATCCGTAAGCTTACAGCATTCAACAAGGCAGAGTTCTTCAAAACAGTCCAAACCTACAGCCAAATTAAAAGGCATTCTTGTACACCTTCAAATGCATGAGTGTGCTCGAAACATCCGAACGAAACCAGCTGTTTCACACGAATGACTGACCCAACACCTGACAGGTCACAGCTTGAATAGTGACAAAGTGTTGGCAAAGGTCCTTTCCAGCATACTTTTCCAAGTGTTTTTGCCACAAGTCCTGAAACAGTGAAGTGATGATCACACCCAGCTTTTGACATGACATCAAGAGAGAGAACAGCAAGAACACCACTGCTCTATAGACCTCGCGTTCCATTCCGCAGGTCCCAACATCAACCACGGTCTCATGAAAAGCGTCCGTCCATGCCTTTTGGTTATTTTTTGTTACTTTGCATCACCTGAGGAACCTCCCGAGAAAAAAACAACTAGGCTTGTAATAGAACAAGCTAACTTGTTTATTCAAGAGGTATGGTATCAACAACAGTTGCATTTAGGTGATCTGACCGGCCTGCTTTTGAAAAGAGTCCATCAGCAAAAGGATACTGTGTGGCCCTTGGGTCTAATGTTTGAGACACACCGTTTTCCGTGATGTTCAGGCGGGTTTGGTTAAGACTCCAATGATTCTCTGTGCTTGGTATGTTCGCATATATAGTATTTACATGTTTTCGTGCCGCTCGCAGTGCGGTCGCGCCCATGTTGCGTTTTTTTGGATGATTCTCCATGTAACACAGAAGAGACAAACCATGTACAGTATCTTGAAGGGTTCGTCAACAAGGCAAATGTATGATGGATGTTCTTCGATGGATGATGCAAGTGGTGTGATGGGGTGTGGGGTGGTTTCGTTCGTGTGAGTAGTAGGACACACGATGGCGATGAATGGTTTGTATGACGGGGGGAAGACTTCGGAATGTCCCAGATCTCAGCTTTTGTTGGCGAAACTCAATTCTCGACGAAAGCTTCCAGAAAGTTCACAGGGTCTAAAGTGAACCCGTCGGAATATATATATATATATATTAGTGTGTGTGTGTGCGTACTTATACCATACATATAACTATAGTATGTAATGTACACTGCAGTTATTATCGATACTGAGGTACCGTTACTGGTGATTTTCTGAAGAGTGAGGGAAGCCTTCCACCAAAGTCGCTGCAAAACTGTTGTTCCGTGTTGTTTACTATTCGCAGCTCCTTCTCTTGGGACAAGAGGGTCTGACAAATGTAGTGTCGGTCCACCTGCGCAAAACGTGTGCAGGGGCATGCCCTGCCTGGAATCTGGCTGATTCTCTCCGGTGCATAGGAACGCACAAACAGCACTACTAGGAGCAAAGGACTCTACTAGGGGCTCCTGGCCTTACTACTAGGACCAATCGGACACTACTGGGAGCGGCAGCCTCGAACTCGATGAGTTGTGGTTCTGGCTGCCATTGCTCACTGGTCGAAACCTCCTGTCCGCTTTGGACGCTGATCTGCATGCTGCTGTTAGTGCTGTTGGAGACCTGAGATGCTGCAAGCGTATTTTGAGAAGTGATGGCCTCCAAACTTCCAACCTAATAGCAATGGCCTCCAACCCAGCAGCGATAACCTCAACCTAATAGCAGTGGCCAACAAACCTAAGAGCGATGGCCTCCAGCCTAATAGCAATGGCCTCCAACCCAGGAG